CCATGTGGGTGCTGGGATTTGAACCCAGGTCTTCTGCAAGAACAACCAGTGTTCTTAACCACTGAGCCATCTCTCCAGCCCCTAAGTGGAGGGTTTTTATTCATAATTCCCAAATCATAATTTATGAAAGAAAAAAACTGATAAATTAGGCTTCATCAAAATAAACTTTTGCTTTGCTAAACACTGTTGTAAGAAGTTGAGAAAACAAGGTGTAATAGGCATATCTAACAAGACAAAACCAGGGATGTGATGCTTACACAAACTCAGTTAGCCAGAAAGACAAACACTATATATAATTCTGATTATATGAGGCTCACTGAGCAGTCAAATTTACAAAACAGTAGAACAGTGGCTATCAAGGGCTACAGGCAAAGGTAAAGGGGAGTTGGTGTTTAATAGATCCAGTTTAAGTTTTGGGAAGATGAAAAAGATCTGAAGTTCTAGGACCTCTGTTTGCAACAACTCAAATGTACTATTAAGTATAATACTGTAAATACTGATATACTACTGACTACTAAAAAAAATGGCTCAGGTGCTCTTTCAAATAATGGAACATACTTGACAAACAAATCACAGCCAGAATATATAAGGAATTTTGTAAACTCAACATACAAGAAAGCATGTAAGGCCATTAGAAAATTGGCTAAAGACAACTGGATGTTGGGCTGGTGAGATCTGAGTTTGAGTCTTAGGAACTCACTTACTGGAAGGAGAGACTTGACTCAAGTAAGCTGTCCTTTGACTGCCACATGCTCACACATGCATGCTGTGGCATGTGCATACTGCCCATCCCTCCAAAATAAATAAATTATATTAAAGAAAACTGGAGTTGGAGAGAGAACTCCGCAGTTAAGAGCACAGGCTCCTCTTGCAGACGACCCGGGTTTGTTCCCAGCACCCACATGGTGGCTAACAATCATCCTTAACTCCAGTTTCAGGGGATCCAACATCCTCTTCTGGCCTCCATGGGGACTGCATGACATGGGTGCACTTACATACATATAGTAATAGTTGTTCTAGTTTGTTTCCTGTTGCTGTGATAAAACACTGACCAAAATAAGCTTTTTGGAGAAAGGGTTTATTTGGCTTACACTTCCAGGTCACAATCTCATTGAGGGAAGTCAGGGCAGGCTCTCAAGGCAGGAAGCTGGAAGCAGGAACCACGGAGGAATGCTGCTTACTGGCTTGTTCACTGGCTTATGTTCAACTAGCTTTTTCGTTTAGCTCAGGCTCACCTGCCTAGGGATGGTACCACTCACAGTGGGTTGGGCCCTTCTGCATCAATTAGCAATCAAGACAATGGCCCACAGACATGCCCACAGGCCCGTTTGATTGGGGAAATTCAACTGCGGTTCCTTCTTCCCACGTGACTCTAGGTTGTATCAAGTTGACAATAAAAACTAACCAGGACAGTAGTATATGTAATCCCAGTGCTTGGGAGGGTAAAGCAGGAGAGTGGTATTAAGGCATCCTGGATTACAGAGTAAGACCCCTTTGCAAAACAAAGAAGGAAGCAAATAAAACAACTTCAAATAGGAAAAAAATAGGAAAAAGACACAGTAAATGAACATTTTACCACAGAGGATGTTCACAGCTAGGCATGGTGGTGAACACCTGTAATTCTAGGTTACTTTAGAGGCTGAAGCAGCAAGGCAAACATACAGACAAGGCAAATTAATTTCTCTAAGGTGTTTAAAGTCATCCTGGAACTCTTTTTCATGCTTGTCTTTTGGTGTGCATGTTCATCTGTATGTACCACGTATGTGGAAGCCACAGCACAATCTTGGGTGTCATTCTCAGGAACTATATCTGTTGACACAGGTTCTCTCACTGGTCTGGAACTCATCAATTAGGCTGGTCTAGCTGGGTAGTAAGCCCCAGGCATCTTCCTGTCTCCATCTCTCTAGCACTGGGATTCCAGGTGCCTAGCTTTTTTCTTTTTAAACTGGGTTCTGGAAATTAAATTCCAGTCTTTGTGGGTGTAAAGCAAGTGCTTTACCAACTGAGCCATCCTACCTAGCCACCTGGAATGTTCTGTTACAAATTTAATTGGCCCTCTTTTGAGTGTTCTTAGTGAATAAATTGGAAATACTTTGTTTTCCTTTTTTTGAAAATTTCTCTCTCTCTCTCTCTCTCTCTCTGTTAGAGGACAACTTGCAGGAATCAGTTCTCTCCTTCTACGATGTGGATTCTGGGGATCAAGCTCAGGTCATCAAGTTTGGTGGCAGGTGCCTTTACCTACTCGAGCCATCTCATTGGTCCCCAATTTTAGTTATGATTTCTTCTATTATCACTCATCTATCCCTAAAACCAGTCACTTACAGGAGTTTCTTTTTACTTCAGCATGTGAGTGTGGGGAGACCGCTCCTTCAGTGATTTTTTTTCCCCCTGTCTTTTTGAGATAGGAAGCCCCTGTAGCCCCAGCTGGCCAGGAACTCACTATGTAGACTCAACTCAGAGATCTGCCTGCCTCTACCTCCCGAGTGCTGGGATCAAAGGCGTGTGCAACCATGCAAGGCCTCAGTGATTTTTTTTTTTTTCATGATCCAAACTGTTTTCTGCTTTCAGATGCCACAGAAAGATTGATCACAGCAAATAAAAGCATTCTGGATGCCTGTGTGGGGAACCACTTCCACAACTTCCTAAACTATTAAGTCCAATACAGATTCTATAAGGTTTACCATCTCAGCAGTCTGCAGCTGCTGCCACAGGATATGCCTATGTACTTTACAGAGTGCTCTTCACCTCTGAGAACTACACAGACTTTCTAGTGCTTTAAAACTAAATCCAGGGGGCTGAAGAGATGGCTTAGTTATTAAGAACACTTGCTGTTCTTTCAGAGGAACCAGATTAAATTCCCAGCACCCACATGTCAGCTAACAATAGTACATAACTCCAGGTCCAGGGAATCTAAGACCCTCTTCTGGCTTCTGTGGGGCATTGTATGCACATAGTGCACTTACATACATGCAGAAAAAATACTCATACACATAAAATAAAAAATGTAGATCTAGGGATGGAGTATAGCTCATGGCAGAGCAATTGTCTACCCAGCAAGGACCTGGATTCAACCTCCAATTCGAGGAAAAACAAAGTCCAGAATTTAGGCACTTCTTGAACTTTCTGTACCTTCAAGATATCTTGAAGTCAATATAAGACTATCGTCTCTCACTTGGTGGTCCTGCTTTCACACTTGCTCTCTTACAATTTATTCTAAACACAGGAGCCAGACTAGCCCATTATTCATTATGTTTTTGTGTATAGTGTTGGGGGATTGAAAACAGGACCTAACACATGCTAATCAAGTACTGAACCTATACTCCCAGTACCAGTGTAAACCTTTGAAAACTATGTTGAGCACTCTCCTAGTTTGTATAGGGCCATAGGTATAATCCCTGGTACAGTTAAAAAACCAAAAGCCAAACCATCAAACAAGTAAACAAAAACCAACGAAGTCCAATCATGTCATTCTTATACTTTAATGACTTTTCCATTCCAGAATAAAAACCCAAAGTCCCAAGGCCCTATATATAATCTAACCATCAATTATATCTCTAAGCCACCTTGTTTTCTTATTTTTATCATTTTTTATTTCTCGGTCTTTTTGAGACAGGGTCTCCCTGTAGCCCCAGCTGGCTTGGAACTTGCTGTGTAGACCAGGCTGGCCTTGAACTCACAGAGATCCACCTACCTCTGCCTCCTGAGTGCTGGGATTAAAGGTGTGTGCCACCATGCCCAGCTTAATTAATTTTTATTTTATGTGTATGAGTGCTGTGCCTGCAATCATGTAAGTGCATCTGTGTGCAATACACATGGAGGCCAGAAGAGGGTGTTTGATCTCCTGGAACTGGAGTTATAGACCGCTGTTAGCCAGTGCTGGGAACTGAACCTGTGTCCTCTGCAAGAGCAGCCAGTGCTCTTAACCACTGAACCATCTCTCTTTAAAAAAATTTTTTTTTTGTGGGTGTTTTTCTTGATCACTTTCAACTTTATTTTTTGAGACAGGGTTTCTTTGATTGGCTAGCCTCGGTGGCCAGCAAGCTTTGGGAGGAGGTGAGGGGAGAAATCCACCAGTCTCTGCCCCCTAGTGCTTAGGACCTGGCATTTATGTGGTTCCTGGTGAACTGAACTCAGGACTTTGTACTCGTGCAGCAGGCACTTTACCAAGTGAGCCACCTCCCCTGCCCCATGATACCATTTTAAAAAATAACAAGTGGGTGAGGCAGGGCATGGTGGTGCATGCCTTTGATCCTAACACTTGGGAGGCAGAGGTAGGTGGATCTCTGTGAGTTCAAGGCCAGCTGGGGCTACAGGGAGACCCTGTCTCAAAAATGCAAACAAACAAACAAACAAGCCAAACCAAGTGGGTGTTTATTATGAGGCAGGCACTATACTGAGGGCTTTAAAAATGTCATTTCATTTTAATACACTAGAATGCTGTAAGGTAGATGTTAGATATTAGGAGTGTGTTCACTTATATAAATGATACAAATGGCGATCAGAGAGGTTGAGAACGTGTCCAGATCATGCAGCTGGAAAATGATGTAAATTGGCCGCACTTCTGTGCACAATGGCGTGTGATTTAAAAAGTGATAACATTTGTGAGCTCACCCTGCCGGCCTAGGTGACCCAGATGCACTCCGCATGGAGCTTTCCACTCGAGGACTAGTCACTTCAGGAGGCTGAGGAGGAATGAGGGTTTTCCGAACTGCCATTCTGAAAGAAATGAACAAACCCAGAAAATAGAAGTCCATGGCCAATGAAAGATATTAAATACAAGACACGTTTGCCAGGCCTATGTTTTCTATGGAAAAGTAAGAGTATTACAGTGAATAAGCTTGTTTGTTTCTCTGTTTTTGTTTGAGATAGGGTCTCTCTTTGTAGCTCTGGTGGCTTGGGAATCACTATGTAGACCAGGCTGGCTTCAAACTTGCTTTGATCCTCCTGCCTCTATTTCCTGAGTGCTGGGATTAGAAGTGTGCACCACCACATTCATCATGCTTTTTCTAAAAAGAAAATATTTTATCTGTTATTTTCATTTTATGTGTATGAGTGTATTGCCTGCATGTGTATAAGTGCACTCATGTCATGCAATGTCTAAGGAAGTAAGAAAATGATGTCAGAGCCCCTGGAACTGGAGTTAAGGACAATTGTTAGCCACCATGTGGGTACTGGGAACCAAACCTGGTCCTCTGCTGCCAGTGCTCATAACTGCTGAGCCATCTCTCCAGCCCCTCTTTTTTTTTTTTTTTTTCTTTCAGTCTCCAGTAGCCCCAGCTGGCTTTGAACTCAGGGATCCGCCTGCCTCTGTCTCTCTAGTGCATAATTAAAGCTGTATGCCATTATGCCCAGCTTATCAAGTAGTTTTTAACTGGCTTTTTCAGACTTCATTTTCTCCTTGAGACAGGTTCTTGTTATATACTTCAGGCTGGCCTTGAACTCTGGATCCTCTTGTTTTACTCTTCTAAGAACTGTGTTACAGATATGGGCCATCACACCTGGCTTAAATGCTGTTAACAAAATGTAAAAGGTATCTTCCTTATTTCTACTCCTTGCCAGCTATCATCTCCAAGGGGCATCCCATCTGAGCTGCTTCTAGCATATCACATCCCCTTTCTATTTCATGTTGTTAAAACCCATTTTAGCTGCCTTTTTTTTTTGGTCTTTTTTGTTATTTTGTATTTTTTTTTTTTTCGGAGCTCAGGACTGAACCCAGGGCCTTGTACTTGCTAGGCTCTACCACTGAGCTAAATCCCCAACCCCAAAACCCATTTTAAAGTGCTCACAAATCATTAAATCTATGGACTGACAGAGACCAGAGCAAGTTCCTGGAAACCCAGTGTAAAACTGACCATGAGGAATCAGAAATCAGTCAGGTACGGTAGCACATGCCTTTAGTCCCAGCACTCAGAAGGCAGAGGCAGACAGATCTCTTGTCTCAAAAACAAGCAACCAACAACAACAACAAAAAACCAAACAAAAAGAATCAGAGATCAACTGTTGTAGAAGTTATGCAACTCTCCGGTTGAGGATACATCTCTGGATTTAGCAGAGTGAATGTCAGGCGTGAACCTGACATATTTAATTTGAAAACAGTGGAGGAACCAAGTGCTAGATGAGAATGGGTTGGAGAAAAAAATGGCTAGCACCAGACTATACTTTTTTCCAGAGCTAATCACTAATCATTATGCTGCTAACATCTCAAAAAGGGTAACCATGGGTGGTGGCACATACCTTGGAGGCAAAGGCAAGAGGATCTCTGTGAGATTGAGTCCAGCTTGGTCTACAAAGTGAGCCCAGCTGGGGTTACCAGGAGACCCTGTGTCAGAAAAAAAAAAAGTAACCACCAACCATTCTGTCTCCTGGTAAGAGATTAAACTACCTGACTCTGAAGTGCTTATTCCATAAGAAGCAATAAATACATAAAGAAGTGAATCTAATAAAACTTAATTTTATACTACCATGGCTTAAAAAATTACACTTACTTATTTATTTATTTTTTTCTGGGTCAGACTTGGTTTTTATTTTAGAAATTGCCTCTTGCTGCATTGTAATTCCCAGGAACAGCTCTGTTCCTACAGCGTATTCATGTGTTTTCATGATTTTACACTTATTTTTTCGTGTGCACATGTATGTGTGTACCACCGTGTCTGTATAAAGGTCAGAGGAAAAATTGTGGGAATTGGTTCTCTCCTTCCACCACATGAATCCCTAGGATCAAACTCAGGTCATCAAGTGATTTTCACCTGCTGAGCCATCTTGATGGCCCTAATCAAACTTATAGATTCAAGTAGCAATTTGCAGGAAATGCAAAGAACAGAACAAATTAAACAATACTTTTAGGTATGATCAGTTGAACAGAATTTCCTTGTATAGCCAAGTCTTAATTTTTCTAAATGTGAATGTAACTTTACTTGAGAATAGGGTCTTTGAAAGTATAATTAAGCAACTTGAGATAAGATCAGTCTAAATTTAGGGTCTTTCTTAAGTTCAATCACTGGTGGCTTTAAGACAGAAAGGAGAGTGGGCGTATTGACAACAAGGAGAAGATATGTCAATGTGGAGGGAGACTAGAGTGTATGTTCACTGGCCAAGGAAAACAAAGCACTGCTAGCAGTCAGAGAGTAGGGAAAAGGCATGGACATACACCCCAGAAACTTCGGAAGGAACCAACACGCCAACATCCAAAGGCAGACTTGTCACCACCAGAACTGTAAGCTAATACATTTCTGCTGTATTAAGCCACCAAATTATGCAATAGGGATGACCTCTGACAAAATCTAGAGTGAGGATCAAAATACCAAGTTTCTGGGGCTGGAGAGATGGCTCAGTAATTAACAGCACTGGGTGTTCTTGTAGAAGACCTGGGTTTGTTCCTAGCACCCACATGGAGGCTAACAGCCACCTGTAACTCCAGTTCCAGGGGATGTGATGCCCTCTTCTGACCTCTGTGGGCACTGTACAATATAGGAGCACTTACATATACAAGGAAAAACACTCATACACATAAAATAAAAATTATAAATAAAATACTTAAAAAAAACCAAGTTTCTCCAATAAATCAATGGTAAGAAAGTTGGGTGTGATAGCACACCCCTGTAACTATAGTACTTGGGAGACTGAGGCAGGAAGATAATCAAGGCCAGCCTGGGCAACAGTGAACCTATCTTAACACAAACAAACAAAACAAAGAGAAAACCCACCCCAAATAACAACAAAATAAATAACTAAAATGGAAAGAAAAGATGGAGGAAACATACATTAAAACAGCCTGGAGTAGTTATAGAGTACTTATTTTGTATAGGTAAGGCTCTAGGTTCAATCCATAGTATCCAAAAGGAGAAAACCCACAAAAACAAAGGACAAAATTAAAGCTGACTTAATACAAAATAAAACAAAATTCGTGACATTTGAAACCACTAAAAATTGAACTGGGTATTTGATATTGTTTTCCCCCTTATTTGTTTGTTTTTTTTGGTCTTTTTGAGACAGGGTCACCCTGTAGCCCCAGCTGGCCTTGAACTCAGAGATCTACCTGCCCCTGACTCCTGAGGGCTGGTATTAAAGGTGTGTGTCACTATGCCCGGCCTTTTCCTCCTTATTTTTAAGTATGTATCTCCCAATAGATAGGTGTAAAATATATATAAATAAAATAGCATGGTGTTTGATAAGGGTTGGGGATACAGTTCGGTGGTTAAAACACTCGCCTAGCATACACAAGGTCCTAGATTTAATTTCCAGCATTACAACAAACAAAAGAACAAATAAGGGGGAAAAAAAAAAACAGGTGGGCTTGGTGACACATGCGTATAATTCTAGCACTTGAGAGATGGAAACAAGATTGGGAGTTCAAGGTCATCCTTGGATACATATGGAGTTTGAGGTTAGCCTGACTAACTACACAAAACACTGATTCAAAAAAAGCCCCAAAGAGGAGTTGGAGAGATGGCTCAGTGGTTAAGAGCACTGGCTGACCTTCCAGAGAACCTAGGTTCAGTTCCAAGCATCCACATGGCAGCTAACAACTGTCTGTAAATCTAGTTCTAGGGGATCAGACATCTTCCAGTCTCCACAGGATTGCACACATGTGATACACTTAAATACACATAGGCAAAAAACTCATACACATTAAAAAACAAAATAAGAAAAACCAAAACCCAGAGAGATTGGGGATACAGTTCAGTTGGCAGAGTGCTTGCCTACCAAGTCCTGAATTTGATCACCAGCATTCATATACTAGGTGTGGTGGTGCACACCAATATTCCCAGCACATCAGAAGTGGATATAGCAGGATCAAAAGTTCAAGGTCATCCTTGGCTAGTTTTTTTTAGTTAAAAAAATTTTTTTGGGAGGGGTCTTTTTGAGGGTATCTCTGTAGCCCCAGCTGGCCTGGAACTCACCATGTAGACCAGGCTGGCCTTGAATTCAGAGATCCGCTTGCCTCTGCCTCCCAAGTGCTGGGATCAAAGGCATGTACCACCACACCCAGCAATTCTCTTAATCATTCCCTTTTATCAAAAAAGTATGAAGCCAGTTTATAAGCAACAGTGAAGACAGGTAAGGCTGGAAGTTTTGCACAGAGAAAACAGGACAGCAGTGTAGGGAAGTATACTGGGCTGGCCACCGTGGTATCCTGGTAAAGGTTTATGACGTTGAACATTGGTGAAGGGAAAGGCAAGGAAATGACTGTAAATGACCAGAGAGACTGATGGAGAGCAGAAAAAGGCTTGGCAAAGACCCTGAAAAGACAGTAGGCTTAATAGGTGCAATTCTAGCTCCTGGTAGAGCCTGCTGGACAACTGCTGCGAGAAGGTGGGTGTGGGAGTATAGAAAACAAGGCTGTGAAGGCTTGTTGGATTTACAAGGATAACAGCGTGTGCATGCACTGCTCAAAGATAAGCAGCCATAACTTTGGACAGCTATGGGTCTCTGAAGAACAGTCAGGTTTACAGCGAGAATAGAGAAGTGGCAAGGGCACAGGACCTGTGCTGTTGACAGACATGGACGAGAATGGGCATAGGTCTCTGGGAAGCACCAAGTGTGGGAAAGGGCTAGAAGTTTTTATTGCTAGAGCTGTGAAATTTCAAAATGTCAGTGTATACTTAGTGCACTGCAATTACTGTCCTGAGCATATCTTTAAATCAGGAAACTCAGGTCCTTTGGTTCTGTTAATTTTCTGTCAATTTCTTTGTAAATGATTCTCCTCTATTTCTCTC